GCATGTTTGGAATTGAGTAGGAGTAATGTACAGAGTCCATGAGTAAGGATATTTAGTGCTATTAATTCCTACAGTGTAAAAATGCTCATAAAAACCTCTGTTCATCGCAGTACGTAACGGTCCGGAAAGCGGCAGCAAAGTTATGGTTCAGTTTCCGCGGAGTCAGTGCAAGGATCTCCCGAAAGGCGACGTGCTGCAGGACAACAAGTGGAATCATCTGCGGGGGCCGTTCAAGGAAGTGCAGTGGAACAAAATGGAAGGGCGTAACTTTGTGTATAAAATGGAGCTCCTCATGGCCGCCCTGACTCCCTGCTAAGAATCCGTCAGCCCCTCCGTGGGGGCTGTGAATCAGTGCTGTGCTGCCAAGGATCACTGCCCGTGCAGCAAAGGGAGGTGGAACCTATGGGGCAGTACAAGCAAGCAAGCCCAAATTGATTTCCTGTACAGATAACATCTGTTGTAGTGTTTGTAATAAAACTTTTTTCAATTGCATATAAAATACAGCTTTTTGAAAAAGTTCCTTTCGGCTGTAGCTTTGCAGCTTGCTCTCTCTAGAGTAACATAGCTGGGTAATTAATGTATTTCTGTTTTATAAAATTAAATTCAGTAGTCCTTTGCTACATGAAAGGTTTGCTCAGAGTCATTCTCTTTCACTTTGTGCCCCTACTTTTTCTGAATAATTCTTTGCAAGTATTTCTGAAAGATGAAAATGACTGGAATTGAATTGTGCTATCAGTAAGCCTTTTAGTGGCTTATACCACAGGGAATGGCTATCCTTGCAGGAGCTAATGGGCTCATTTGATTACAAATGGGACAACAGGACAAGCAGAGCTCCCTTGTCAGGAATTAAGGCTAAACAAAACTTAGCAATCAAGAAACAGTCTTCACTGCGGTACGTTCTTGTTTTGAAGTTTGTACATTGATGTGGCTTCTGGGTGAGCCCTTTCTTTTTGAGATACATATTTACTTCAGAGTGTTACAAAGTCACAGCTTGTGGGAAATGTTTTTCCTTTCTGATGGCTGAAGTTGAGCCTACGTAGTGTCAGGTACTTTGCTTGTGTTTTCTGGGTTTTTTTGCAAGCATGTAAAGAGTCTTCCTCTGCTTGCGAAATTCTGACAATTTGAGTCTGGAGATGACTTGGGTAAATACGTGTCTGGACAGCAGCAGGCAATTCATGCAGTAGCCCTTGTATCTCCACACTTGAGCTGTTCCTGTTTTTTTTTTTTTTTCTTTCCTGCACTGGCACTGATTATTGTCTAGGCAAACAATAATATTCTCCTGAAGATCAGCTCTTTGGAGTTTTTTTAAAATAAAAAAGCCATGTTTTTGTCTGTTTTGGTTGTAATTTGTAGCCTTGAAGCTCCTAGGAATGTGTTCCACAAAGCTTTTCTTCTGTTTGATGATTAATTGCTTGAAGGTCTTTTTGAAACCTGTCTGTATGAACTGGTTCAGACTTTGTCCATATTATGTGTTAAGGGGGGTGTGTGTATATGAGAACTTCTTGCACATAGCACATGTTTGAATTGAACATGATACTTCTGTGGTGACAGTTGTTACTTTGCTGTATTCTTGAGCAATAAAGAATAGTTGTAGGAAATATATATTGAGCAACTACTTGTGGCAAGCTGCTGCTCCATGTGTATCCAAAGCAGCTACTGTAGTTAAGTTGGCGTTTGCCAGCATTGAAACCTCTTGTTACTTCAGGTCCTTGAAGCACTTCTGTGCAAATGAACAATGCAAAAGTTTTTCCTTCCAGCTCATGATGAGTTACCCAAGACAACTGAGAAAAATGAAAAAGTACTAGTTGAACATTCTTTCTTGATTTTCTTGAAGAGGGGTGAATCTTACGCAGCACCTGTGATGCCAGGTCCTGTATTGCCTGGCTGGCAGACACTGATTACAGGCAGAGAGGGGTTTTGTTCCTTGGTGAACAGCTCAGCCAAAAGCCTGATGCATCCATTTGTGCATCTGGTTACAATGAGGCTGTTCGGACTCTTGGCAGCACAATGAATCTTCTCTTACCAGTAACTGGAAGATGAGCACATGAAACTTAACTGTGTCTTTACACTTCACTGTTCTTAACCTAAATGGGCAGATCTGCATGCAGTGCTGGCCTTTGCGTCAAATAAGTTCATCATTACCAAGTAATGGGGAGGGGTCTTAGAGTTGCAGGATTCATCCCCTTCTGAAAAGAAACAGTGGATGCTAAAGGACTTCTCTTGTGTTGCAGAAGTGCAAGCACACACGTTAGCAGTGAAGACATTTGTCAAGACTTTCAGGCCTAGCTGCAAAACATTTTAATAAAATACAATGGTTAGGGATCTGGAGGATCTGTCTTTTAGTGGGAAGTACACAGGGATTCCTAATTTTAATGGAAAACAGGCTGCTTAGGCTTCTTGGTAGTACATCTCTGAACATGAAATGAAGGCATTAATGGATGATTAAAACATTCACAATTGATTGCCAAAGCAATCTTATGAACTTGGACATGTCTTTAAAATTTAAATGAAAAATGCCTTAATCCCTTTGATCACTTGGAATGCTCTAAATAATAAATTTGCTGCTGTTCTGCAAGGACTTTACAGCTGGAGTAATACTAGCTATTAATTTCTAAACTTCCACTTGAACAGCTTGCTGTAAGACTTTAGATACTTCAGTCACCTCCAATGTAACAAACTGCTACAGACAGCTTAACCTCACATTTTCTGTATCAAATATTGACAGTAATAACGCATATGGGCAAACATCAGTTTCAGAAAATGTATTTTACAAGTGACCCTACCTATGTAGAGTAAGCATGTTAAATTCTGAGGAATTGTCTCCAAGGCTCACTGCCCTCACTGTGTATTCTTTGATTCCCTGTTCCTCTAGGATACTAATACCTAAAAGCAAGGCTGGCATCTGCATTGATGGCCAACGGTGGGTGCCTGAAGTTGCTGTATCTTTAGCCAAGCTGAGAGGTAGAACAGCTGTGCTAGTTGGAAATTCTTAATGCTGTTATAATGTGTCTTAAATTGAATAATTTTAAGTGGTCATTTCCTGCTTTCATCCCAGCTTTCAAATATTGTAGTTTAAAAGCATAAGTGATCTCTACAATTAGAGCGATGCATTCATAAGGCCATTCATGCCTTGCTTGCCTTTTCCATCTTTTCCTTGGCAATTAACAGTATTCAAGGCAGCATAGCAGATAATAATGCTGTTATGTGGAAGCTGCAGTTTTGTCCTTTCTAAGCAAGTCTGGCAGAGCACCTGCTACACACTCGGCTCAGCCAAATGGGTAACTTACCAGTCAAGTTCTAAGACTTAGGGATTAAAAAAACCCTAATCTGTAACAGGTAAACAGAATGGGGAAAAAAAAGTATTTTTTTTCTGTGTGCCATATGGATACTTCACAGAGTACTTCAAGCGTGGTGGTTAAAACATGCATTTACACCTTCTGTGTCATCAAAGCTTAATTCACTCAAAGATACAGAAGACTGGTAATACACGCTTAAAGTGAAGAATTAGCCCAGTTACTTTGCCAAGATGTGCTGTAGCTGGGTTGTTTTGGTTTCTGTTTTGTTTTGTTTTTTATTTTCTCCCCTTTTTTGCCTCTTCTAGATGCAGGAAGGAACAACCACCTAAATCTGGTGCCCCAATTTATGAGCGAGTGAGAGGCCGTTCAATCTGGGGACAACTTTTAGAAAGTATTGTGTGCAGGGTGCCTTGGGAAAAGCCTGTTTGTGTTGTTATGCACTTGGTGAGAAATTCTTTGTTTTTCCAGATCTAACCCGTCATACCCCTGCACCTGAGCACTGTAGTCTTTGAGCCAAAGCGTGAGAGAGGCGGTAGCAGCAGTTTGGTTCAAAAAGCCACATGCCAATCTGCAGATACAGTCCAGGGTATCTTCCATTTTCAAAGTTTATTTCAGAAAATTCTTCTACACAAAAGCAAACCAGGATACTTTGTAGTGCAGTCAGTCTAATGCTTTCTCACAAAAACAAATGTTATTCCACCCAGCAGATCTGCAGGTGGCAAATGTAAGTGCAATACGCAGACTCAAGAAAACATTAGTTACATTGCTTTGTGTTTTCTTACAACATAGGAAAGCAAAGGTGGCTTCTCAACAAGAGTAATTTTAGTATTTGTAAATACTAAATTCCAAAGTAATGCTGTTTTAACTTCTCTTCCCAGACAGACTGTTCATCTATGGGCTACGTTTGCAAAGGACTCAACATCTTTCACAGCGAAACTGTTCTGTATTTAGCCGCCCCACTGGTGTGATGTGTCAGTATTTGATCTGACCACTCTAATCATTATAGACAGCATTCAATGCCTGTGCCGGCTTCCTTGTTTAACAACCTTTGCTAGAAATGTCATAAAATGTGTGTTAATATCCTGGGGCAGTGTAAACAACTGGAAGTGAAAGCAGGAGAACTTTGACCAGCTCAGCGTTGTTTCAGAGTCAGTTTTGTCTCATGAAGAATTACAGTTTGTCTTCAGAGCTTCAGGAAATTCCTTATGCCCAAGAGTAGCAGCATAGGCACAATAAACAGGATTCAAACCTTGCAATTAATTTTGAAATGTAATACTGTAATTAGACATTAAATTTATTATGTTGAAGGATGCTAATGGCTGCTCTGTCTGTTAATGGGAGACTTGCTGTAGCCAAAATACAGGTGTCCTTCAAGATCATGATCATTTCCTTTATGGGTTGATCTTAGAAGCTTGGTTGGTTGTTTTTAAGAGTGGTAGAGGCTGTAGATTTTATTAATTAGCCACAAAAAAGTATTTGTGCTCAGCATGAAATCATACTCATTTTTACTTCAACCTTGGCTAGCAGAGCTAAAATCTTGACAGGTCAAAACAGCTCCACCAGACACTGCTGATTTCATGTCTAGCAAGTTGGGATGTTTCTACAGTAGTCACAAACTTTTTACCTTTTTGGTTTCTTCTCACTTCCTTGCCAGTATTTTCTCCTGAGGTAGAATTGTTATTTTTGTTATGAGACAGTCCTTGGCTAACACTCAATGGTATCCAATTCAATCTCCTCAGTTGTACTTGCTGCAAATAAAAGGATGTTATTATTGATTGGCAAATGGATTGGAAGGCCAGCGTCCCAAAATTAACAACGCCACGTTAATAACCGAGACATTCTGAACTTTTTAATATGAGCTCGAGCTTACTCATCTACAATTAGGTTTTAAATACCTCTTTTCAAATTATTTAGCTGCGTAAAGAATCCCTCACAATCTTAAAAGTGACACTGGTTTCTTCAAGTACAAAACTAAAAGTGCTATGAAAACTGAAGTCCATAGTGCCCATCTTTATACCTTTATTTCATGAGTTTTGAGAGGAGGGCTCTTGTAAGGTGGAACTGGGGCAGAAGGTAGGTCTCTGCTTTAGATTATCTTCTGGGAGATGACAGAGCAAGTCTCCAGAACTGTGGTTTTCCTGAAGTCTGCCAAATAAGTGTGTTTGATTCAGACTTTGTAAAACTCTTGTCTCTTTAACTGGAGGAAGGAGAGGCTTTATCCAAACAAAAGCCTGTATATTCTGGCACTATAGGAACATTTTCAGGAGCTTGTGAGCAGTGTGTGCACCATGAAAATAGCAGCAGCCCTTAGAGCTGCAGGTGAGCAGCAGAAAGGAAGAGACAGTTCGAGCCAAATTAATCTCTTTTCCCACAAGGTTTTGCAGAGTTGACACAAAGTCCGGGCCATGAGGATTAGGATTCTTGAGTTGTGTGTCTGCGTTTGCTTAGTAAAATATTGGTACTTTGGCTGCTTGTTGCAATGCAACAGCTTAAGCAGTATTTATTAGAGAAAAAATACAGGCCTCTTACCTACAGGGCAAGAAACCACTAGTGGATCTGCGCTTACAAAGAAAGGAGGTACATGCCTGAAATGTTTTGAAGTTGTAAAAGAAATGTCCCATTCCAAGGATGTGCCCAGAGCCTGAGCCCAGGCCTGTAGCCTGGCCTTGTCCTGCTGCCTAGGCTGTACATCCCTGGCTGTGACTTGGAAGTTTCTGCTGTAACATGAACGTGCAGCCCTGGATCTGCTTTGCATGACTGATGTCTTTGGTGCGTGTTAGGAGTCTGCTTTTGGTATTAGTCAGTGTTTGCTGAAGTCCACACTGGATCAAACCTGAGGACAGGTGAAAAGGGGGTTTGAGAGGAGACGAAGAGGTGCAGCCCTCTGTGAAGTGAGGTGGGAACCACTTCTGAGGGCCATTTGAGTATTTTCCCCTAGGAAATACCCTTCTAGTGTAGACCCTGTGAGCATTGCTAATGCTCTTGTCTTTGACTCATGCCCTCTGATGGGGGGATTGTTACAGCTCTGGCCTTTTCTCCCTAAGGTTTTCAGTTAGCAATGCTGGGAAGTGTTTTGTGGTTTCTGATGTAAAATGTGTAAGCTAGATGCCCTGTGGATTATTCTGCAACTAAATACCTATTATTTAGTTGCTGCTGCTAGTAAAGATTTGGACAGGAAAACTGAACTGAGCCCTTCCAGTCTTGTTTCTCAGTGTCCCCACTTAATCACCTTTATGGCTCAAATCACAGTGAATTCTAGGCTCAAAATTCAGACTTGAAAACCCTATACCTTGATTGCATTCTTAGTAAGATACCTGTTAGTTTGTGTGTCGTCTTCTTCTGGAAGAGATGCAGAAATTTATTACACAGCCACATGAAGCAAATCAAAATGGCAGATACTGCAGCAAGAAATGCAAAGAGAACTGCTACAAAATGTAAATCCTCATAGATAATCTCTGCAGGTAGGACAGGAAAAAAAATAATATTATAAAATGGATTACGAGCAGATTAATGTTTAAACACAGGGTAAGGCCAAGAACTCTCATCTAGTTCATACCATAAACATTGACTATGATGGTGCCGTAGGTGTTGGTTCCATACTCCTCTGTTACAGTGATAAAATAGTAGCCGGCATCTCTCATGCCCACGTTCAGGAGTTGTATAGAGCCATTTTCAAAAGTAGTCACTCTGTCCTTGTACACCGTGGATATGTTGACATAATTCCCACTTCTCCACTCAACAATTTTGGTGGTGCCCCAGCTTGACACATGCTTCCACTCAATGGTGGCGACGCCTCTGGAAGAGTATTGAACCGAAAGGAGGATGTTTTGTGCCACTGTTGCATTGATGTTGGGTTGTGGGACAACTAGAGATACTCCTCCGGGAGCTGAAAGACAAAGGACAGCGATGAGTGCAGAGTGTGGAGGTGATGCTGCGCGAACGGTCCTGGACAGGATGGGACCTCTGGGGTATGCTTCATGCTACCCATCACAGTGGTCAGTGCTAAGAGGGGATGGATTATGCTCTGCAGTTTTAGTTTCTTTCTGCAGACCATAAAAGGAACATACATACTTAAATTAAAGACTAAATACATATTTTTAATCAGTGATAGGAGAAATGTTTCCACCATATGGAATAAGTAATTGTGTGTGTTTCAGTGTTTTGATACCCATGAGGAGAGAGTTTGGAAGAGTCTTTTTGGGAAAGGGAGCATAACATTCTCGGAAAACTGAGCAATGCTTTTGTATTCATCAGTACCTGCCTCTCCTGCATTTAAATGGGAAGCTTAATCGCTGTGGCCATGTTAACCTATTGTATTAATTAATTACCATCCCCTCAAAAGCAAGAACTGTAGCAGACTTAAATATGTGAAGACTTGGCAAGGACTTCATCTTGTTTTCAGGATGTGTAATCAATCTTTGGGACAACAACTACGTAAAGACAGCCAGTTATATGCCAGTGCAGATAAATCCCATATAATCAAAGGTACCTAGTTTCATGTGAAGCCAGGGACTTCATGTTCCTGATGATTTCCAGGCAAAAATGCATGCGAAATAATATTTAATTCTCACCCAGTTCCCACTGATGTGATGATGGAGCTGTTCATAACACTGTGAAACTGAACTGACCATTTAGTTTAATGTGTAACTGCAATAATTTCTGCTTGTGTATGGGTATTTCTGCATGAAGAGCTGGATGAAAACCAAACATCCAAGTTTCAGTTGGCATACTTTTTTTTTTTAATTAGTGGCATGTTTGAGACTCTTGGCTAGAGAGTGAAATCCTGTTATCTACCCACAGAAATCAAACCAAACAAAAGGCAGATAAAGCACAGAGTAAACCTTGCTGCTGAATGTCTTTTCCGGGTTTGCCTTGGAGCAGCTGCTCCGATCTGCTCTCGCACTGCAGGACCAGCCTGACTGCCATCACTGAACTGGAAATTTAATGCTGAACTGCAAATTCCTCTAACCTAGCACAGAGGGAGGACGAGACACTCAGCTACGCTAAAGGAGTGCAAAGCAGGACCCCTGGAGATGTTCCTGGAGGTTCTGCAGAGATTGCAGGGAAAAGACTGGTTAAAAAAGGCTAAGAAAAAAAATTCCAAGGGAAAGAACTTATTTCATAAAATATTACTAAAAATAAGAACCACCCCCCCATGGCCAGTAAAACCCCAAAGGAACCAGAAATGCCGACTTCGCTCTGTTTGGGATCTGTAGCAGAATTCAGAAACTCTGCTGGTCAAGGTACAGCATGGAAGCTGCGGGAAGCCAGTTTGACTCCCAGGTCCTGGGACCAGCACAGCAGAAAGCCCCAGCTTTTATGTATTTGTTAATGGGATCTAGGCTTTTTCCAGGATGAGACTCCTGGGATTCCCCTTTTGTGGGTATCTTGTCATGCTCGTGGTGCCCAGCACCCTCACAAGGACGCCATAGTTTTGGGGTAGCCTAGCACATCCTCAGCAAAGCTGTGGCACCCTCAGCAGAACTGTGGCACTCTAAGCTGAGCTGTGTCCTGCCGTTCAACCTGTGAACTGAGAGGAGAGACTAACCAGAGCTGTGAAAAGATTTGTGTCAGCCAGAGAAACAGAACAGACGGGAACCTCTGGTAATCGCTGCAAATTGTTCTAATTGTTTTCTGCTCCATGTGTTTATTTTAAAAGCCTTTTGCTCTGTTTCTGACTAGACAGGAGCTGAGTGTCTCACCACAGTGACCCCTTTATTGTTTTGATAAAGGCATGGCTTTGTTTTGAATATGTGATTGCAAGGTAAATGTAAAAACAAAAAATAATCCATCAAATTATTTGCAATTGTGTTCTGTCACTATCCAGCACACAAAGCCAAAAAAGGCAATGCAATAACCATTCAAAAATATTTTTAATATGCATTCCGCCTAGATCACCTGAACCAGTCTAATCCAAACAGAGCTGCATCAGCCTTGAAAGCAAACATCACACCCTACTGCAGCGCCCTGCACAAGGCCACTGCACTCAGCGGGCTGCAGAACCAGATCCTTCAGCCCAGGAAAACACGCACCCAGGACAGGAGGGCACCGGTGCCACTCGAAGCGCAGCGACTTTGCTGTCCCTCCAAAGCATTAGCCTGGCCAAGAGGCAAAGCTGGAAGCGTGGCTGTGTGTGCCAGAGCTGGCTGGGGCACCGTGCTGGGAAGCAGGTGGGAGAGGGCTGGCAGCCAGAGGCCTCCAGGCAGGAGCTCCAAGATGCGGCTGACGGCTCTAAACTGGGGCTCTCAGACTCTGGGGACAGTTCCTCTGCCCTCCGCTATCCTGCTTGCACATCAGCTCGATGAGGAAGGGTCCAATCCAATCCCACTGGCGGCACTGCCCACCCCAATTGCCCGGCGTGGGGGCTGGCTGCGGTCTCCTCCAACTCTCCCTCGGCGAGGACGGATCGGCTCGCTGCCTGCTGCCCCGGCCCCGCTCGCTCCCGTGGGGTGCTCTCTCGAGATCCACCTTCCAGCTTCTCCGCCGCACTTCCCAGCGTGACCCGAAGCCCTTCGGGCTGGTTACCCGCGATTTGGTTCCTCCCCGCTGCCTTGTCCCCTCCGCTGCT